TTTCCGACCGTACCCCCTCGGGGATGTATCTTCCTTACCTGCCGCGCACATTCAGCGCAACCCCTAAAACAGGGGAAGGGAGGACGGACGGGGGAAGAGAAGGATGGAACACGCGAGAGAGCCTCTCGGAGCAAATCGCGAGGAAGCATCGAGCGGGAGTCCTTGTCATCGCGGCTGCGTCCCCATTAATTTGACTGAGTTGCGTGGATGTCCACAGCGAGAGCGCTGTTCCTGAAATCGGGAACCTCTCTGGCCAGGGCCTCCCAGATCGCGAGGAAATATCGAGCGGGAGCCTTGTCGTCGCGGCTGGGCATCCGCGAACGTAATTGAATTGCGAAGAAATCTCATGCGAGAGCGCCGTTCCTGGGACCTCTGCGGGCTGGGGCCTCTGTGGGCGCGCTTGGGTCCTCTGTGGGCTGCGTTGGGGAGCCTCAGTGGGCAGCGCGCTGGGGCCTCTGCGGTTGCGCTTGGGGCCTCTGCGGGCTGGGGCCTCTGTGGGCGCCCGTGGGGCCTCTGTGGGCTGTGTCGGTGGGCTTCAGTGGGCAGCGCGCTGGGGGCTCTGCGGGCGCGCTTGGGGCCTCTGTGGGCTGCGTCGGGGGCCTCAGTGGGCAGCGCGCTGAGGCCTCTGTGGGCGCGCTCGGGGCCTCTGCGGGCTGGGGCCTCTAAGGGCTGGGTCGGGAGCCTCGGTGGGCAGCGCGCCGGGGCCTCTGTGGGCGCGCGCTGAGGCCTCTGTGGGCGCGCTCGGGGCCTCCGCAGGCTGGGGCCTCTGTGGGCGCGCTTGGGGCCTGTGGGATGTGCCGGAGGGCCTCAGTGGGCGGCGCGCGGAGGCCTCTGTGGGCGCGCTCGGGGCCTCTGTGGGCTGGGGCCTCCGTGGGCGCCCTTGGGGCCTCTGTGGAACGGGGGGCCTCCGTGGGCAGCGCGTTGGGGCCTCCGTGGGCACGCTTGGGGCGGGGGTTTGGGCCTCTGTGGGCTATGCCAGAGGGCCTCATTGGACAGCGCGCTGGGGCCTCTGTGGGCGCGCTTGGGGCCTCTGTGGGCTGGAGCCTCTGTGGGCTGTGTCGGGGGCCTCAGTGGGCAGCGCGCTGGGGCCTCTGTGGGCGCGCTTGGGGTCTCTGTGGGCAGCGCGGGGGAGCCTCTGTGGGCGCGCTTGGCGCCTATGTGGGCTGTGCTGGAGGGCCTGCGGACAGCATGCTGCGGTCCCTGTGGGCTTACTCTGGGCCTCAGTGGGTTGTGTGTTGAGGGACTGTGGGCAGCGCGCCAGGACCTCGGTGGGCAAGGGCCTTTGCGAATACATCTTGAGGAAGTATCGAACGGGAGCCCCTGTCGTCGCATGTGGGCCTCCACCAATTTGACTGAATCATGAGGAAGTCTCGAGCGAGAGCGCCGTTCCTGTGTTCGGAGGCCTTCCTGGCCAGGGGCTCTCGGAGTAAATCGTGAGGAAGTATCGAGCAGGAGCCTTTGTCGTCGTGGCTGGGCCTCCGCCAACTTGATTGAATTGCGAGGAAGACTCGAGCGAGAGCGCCGTTCCTGAGTTCGGAGGCCTCTCTGGCCAGGGTGTCTCGAAGTAAATTGTGAGGAGGTATCGAGCGGGAGCCGTTGTTGTCGTAGCTGGGCCTCCAAGGGCGCACTTCTAGGGTCAAGCCAACGCTCGAGCGGGAGCCTCGTTTTCAGAGAAAATGTAGGCGGCGTCGAGGCGAGAGCGCCCGGAACTGCTTCCAGAGATCAACAATGATCATTCTCTCGATGAATATTCAATAACAGCAACAACTACCACGAGCACATCACCAACACGATCGACAACGTCATGCCCATGAGGAAAATCTATGCCGTCAGGAGGCGGGGGAGGAGGGAGGGAGGGAGACGGGATGCGAGAGGAGGATCGAGGCGCTCCTCCGTCGCTGGACCGGCCGGGCTTCCGGAGGCCCCCACGGGCCTCCCGGGGAGCATCCGTGCTCCTCCCGAGGCCTCCGGAGACCTCCTAAGACCGCAGGAGTCCTGGGGCGCCGTCGTCGTCGACGTCGTCGTCGCCGCCGCCGTCGCCGCCGCCGTCGCCGTCGCCGTCGCCGTCGTCGTCGTCGCCGTCGCCGTCGCCGTCGCCGTCGTCGTCGTCGTGATCATGGACGTGGTCGTCGTGGTCGTCGCCGTCGTCGTCGCCGTCGCCGTCGTCGTCGCCGTCGTCGCCGCCGTCGTCGTCGCCGTCGTCGTCGTCGTCGTCGTCGCCGTCGTCGTGATCGTGGACGTGGTCGTCGTGGTCGTCGCCGTCGCCGTCGCCGTCGCTGTCGCCGTCGCCGCCACCGTCGCCGTCGTCGTCGTCGTCGTCGCCGTCGTCGCCGTCGTCGTCGGTCGTCGCCGCCGTCGTCGTCGCCGTCGCCGTCGCCGTCGCCGTCGCCGTCGCCGACGCCTTCTCCGTCGCCGTCGCTGTCGCCGTCATTGTCGTCGCCGTCGTCGTCGTTGTCCCCGTCGACGTCGCCGTCGCCGTCGCCGTCATCGTGGTCGTGGTCGTGGTCGTCGTCGCCGCCGCCGTCGTCGCCGTCGCCGTCGCCGTCGTCGTCGTCGCCGTCTCCGTCTCCGTCGCTTCCGTCGTCTCGTCGCCGTCGTCGTCTCGTCCTCCCCGTTAGCATCGCCGTCGGCGTCGCCGCCGTCGCCATCGCCGTCGCCGTCGCCGTCGTCGCGTCGGCGCGCACCACTGATGCTGCAGCACAGCCTCCGTTCTCAGGTGCTGCGAGCGCCCGCTGAATAAGCAGCGGCCCCGCGGCCACAGGCTCGCGGCCCACCGTGGAGGCCATGACAGGGCGAGCGTAGGGCAGATTCGTGGCTGACACCGCGTGGAACGCCCTTCGACCTCGAGCGGTCGCGGCCTTCGGACGGCGCACACCGTTCTGTGCCGGCTGGTGCCAGGCCTCTGGCGGCGTTGGACCTCGAGCACCCGCGCTGGGGTCGCCGCCGCGCCAACGCGGCGCGAACCTGCCGCAATCGAACGGCCTCCGCAGGCGCGCTCACTGTGCGCACCCGCGGCCGGGCGTCCTGTCCACCCGCCCTGCCACGCTGCCGCGCTCGGCGGCGCCCTCTGCCGACTGCCCGCGGCCTCGCGCCGTCCGCGTGACGCTTGCCGTTGAGCCGCCATGCGTGGGCCCTGCCGAGGGAACAAACATTGACACCAACATAACTTTCGGAGGCCCGAGCGGATTTCTGGGATCGGCGCTGGGGCCCTCTGGCGGCGCCTTCGGCGCCGAGTCCAGCGCCGATCCGAGAGATCCGCGCGGACCTCCCAAAAGTTATGTCTGTGTCAGTGCTTGTTCCCCGACTGTTGCGCCGTGGCCGCTATTTGTATGGGCCCCTGGCTGGCTGCCTCGAAACCGATCTGCAAGCGCAAGTGGACTGAGTGGCGCAGTGCCTGCGGCCTCCAGCGCCTGCAGGATACACCGGACGAATCAGAACGGGATCCCGTGCGCCGCCTCTTGTCTTCCGCATGTTCTGGCTGGCGTCCAGGCGGGCGGGCCCCGAGTCGGAGGCGCGGCAACGGCGCCGCGCGTTCTCTCTCGTGCGCAGGAGCCGTGGGGGGTGGCGATGTCGGCAGCGGAGCCGCCCCACGGCCGCGCCAGCGCGCGGGCAGCGAGGCCCCTGCTCCTGCTGCCAGGGCCCCAGATCGGCCCTGCGCCGGGGCCTGTGATCTCGCCCCTGACTGCCCACCAGACCACCCCGACCCAGCCCGAAGACCCGCATTTCGGGTTGGGGGGGGGTATGGGCTCCTTATATGTGTGTTTTTTCGATGTTCCCGGACCCCCCTCCACTAGAAACCTCCTCCTCCTCCTCCTCCTCCTCCTCCTCCTCCTCCTCCTCCTCCTCCTCCTCCCTAAGGGTAAATCTGAGCCTTCGGGTTGGGTTGGGGTGGTTTGGTGGGTGGTGAGCCCCGCGGGCCTGGCGGGGGCCACAGGGCGGGCCACACGAGCGGCCGTCGGTGCACCGCGCGCGCGGACTTGCGGCCCAGCGCCGCGATGGGAAGGGGCGGGCCCGCGCGGCGTGGGCGGCGACGGCGCTCGCTGGGCAGCTGCTGTCCTCCTCCTCCTCCTCCTCCTCCTCCTCCTCCTCCTCCTCCTCCTCCTCCTCCTCCTCCTCCTCCTCCTCCTCCTCCTCCTCCTCCTCCTCCTACCTTCTGATGGCCACGCCAGCACGCTGCTGGCCCCCATTCACGCACAGTCCGAGGCC